TATTGTTTTATGCATCTCAAAATTTCAGCATGATTTGCTCAATCAAAAACTTTTACTACGCAGTGATTGCCAATCAGCAAAATACATTTTGGAAAAAGATGTTCAAAATCTTGCTTCTAAACAAATATTTGCACGATGGCAAGCCATCCTTAGCATTTTTTATTTCGATATACAATTTATAAATGGTTCTTCAAACTCTCTTCCAGACTTCCTCACTCGAGAATTTCTGCAGGGAGGACGAAGTGCGGAAAACTCTCAGGCTTGCAATTTTCAGTCATAATGCCCCCTACCACTAGATTGAGAGATAAAGAGAAAATCAAAATCAAAACATGGAGAGAGATATTTGATGATGAACAAGGAAACCCTGATCATTCAAGTGAGTATGAAGAAAGTTCTGATGATTCTGGTTCACACTCAAGTTCATCCAAAACTTTAATCAATATTGATAAGCTTCCTCTTGAAGCCCAAAATTACCTTCAAAAATTTACTTCCGTTTCTGGTTCTAAACAAAAGCTTCCCACTGAAGCTTCAACTTCCTCAACAATTTCCCCTTCTAAACTCATTCTTTCAAATACTCAAACGCCAAGTGGCATCCTACCCACACCCATCTCTTCCGAAGAAACCAAACAAATACCTCAAGAGAGGTGGCATCTTCGATAGCCCCTCTCAAAACCGTTTTTCCAAAAACCAAGAGGTGGTGGTTGTCCAAGCACCTCAAAAGCAATTTCAAATGTATTTTAAGAAAAACACTTTTCAACCCATTTTCGTTGTCGAAGATGGTTTCTACCATCAATATCCAAATGTTACTGCCAAACATTTCCTCAATGAGTGGTTCTTCAAACCAATATCCCTCAACAAAACTCACAAATATTATGAACTTATCCTCACAGAAACTGGATCATTCACCTCTTCCCACAAATTTGATCCTTCAGACAAAACACTCAATACCCACTCAACCTGCAAAATCCACCAAATTATCCACCCTCGCCAATGGCCTACTAGCCCAAACACCAACCAAAAATTCCCTGCTACCATTGCTCTTAATCACCCGCAAATCTGCCAATCCTTCAATTACTAGGATTACCATAAAGCTTGGATTAATGCCTTCTTCAAGCAAAACCATATGTACCGACACTCCTGGAGTTTTTCTGGGATTACAAAACTCCCATGATTTTCCCCAACTGGTTTATGCACTGGTGGGATCTTTTTGGGCCAACTGAAAATATCTATCCAACTGAGACACAAGAGGGATATCAAACATTCTGTCAAAAATATTCTGGTCCAGGATTACCCCTCTTCAAGCAAAACCATATGTACCGACACTCCTGGAGTTTTTCTGGGATTACAAAACTCCCTTGATTTTCCCCAACTGGTTTATGCACTGGTGGGATCTTTTTGGGCCAACTGAAAATATCTATCCAACTGAGATACAAGAGGGATATCAAACATTCTGTCAAAAATTTTGTTACTCATCAAAGTTCCTTGGATTACAGCCTGGGAATTCAGTTACCAAACTAGTGTCGTCACAAAGGTACCCATGTTAGGCCGCAGCTTCAAAACCAAATATTGGGCCGCAAATCCTCGCCCAGAACAAGCCTACAAACCTCTAGTTCTCCAATGGTTCAATAACAATCCTGAATTGTCCAAAGTCATCGAAAAATCCTCAACGCAATCTTTGCAAACAAAATCCTCAATCAGCCCTCTCTTAGCTGGCGCCAAGACTGAAGAAGAATACTTCCAAATTCTCAAAGATGTGGCGTCTAACTCAACATCTGATGCAGATTCCACGTTCCAAAACCATGACCCGGATGAAGAAGTGCTTGGTCCTTTGCCAACAAGGAGCACTAAGTTGAAGACAAAGAAGAAGTGACCCATTGCTTCTTCCACTATCATAAAGACAAAGAAAAAGTGACACCAATTCCAACCTACTCAATTTGGTTATGGATAGAAGACCACAAATTATCTATTTTTCTTTACATTAAAAATGTAATTTTGATATGACATGTGACATAATCATATAAGTGTCCACATTGTCATCATTGTGTTTTTCAATTTATTTATCAAAAGGGGACTCCATTTCTCTATAAAAGGAGACTCCCTTCACATGTTGTAGTAGAGTTGTTTTGAGTGGGAATTGCTCTCTTTCAAAGCTTCCTCCCATCATCTTCTCTCAAGAATTCATGTGTAAGAAGTCTATCAAACTATCAAGTTTTACTTCATCTTTTTCAAATCATCTTCAACTTTTAGTTATTTCGTGCATAACTAGTAAATAAATTTCTTGCTTATTATTAGTTGAGAGATGGGTACCCCATGGTGAGATCCTAGCTGAGTCCTTTGTGAGAGAGTTGTAAGACCGTCTTTGGCCGTTAATCTATCTCACATGTAAGTTAGATCCAGCCTATGTTTACCTTCTTTCCTCTAGTCATGAGTTCGATTTTTAGACCTTCCTCTAATTATGACATCACCGGGAACCGTGTGATCAACCAAGAAGAAATTAATTTTGAAACTGTTAGTAAAGAAATTGATAATTGGCAAATTCTTAGGATTGCCCAAAAGGAAATTAATGAGCAATAAAATGGATTCTACCATCAAAATCGAAGAAAGAGATATGCATCTTTTCAATGATTATGAAACCATCAAATTTTTGCCTCAAAATTCTATTCAACAAGACAAAAAGAAGTATAACTATATCCATATTAGGTTAGTTCAAGTAGGGATTAAGCCTCTATCCAAAGAAGGCCTTAACGCTGCTATTTTAATGGTTTTACGAGATTGTCGGTTTCTTGAGTTTAACGACTCTTTACTTGGAACTGTTGAATCAAGTCTTTGTAATGGCCCAATTTACTTCAATTATTTTCCAAACTTTACTGTCTATCTTCATGACAAAAATATTTTAGATGTTTTAACCCTACAAATAAAAACTTTCAACTATAAAATCCAATAAGGATCTTTTCCTATCTCTTTGGTTTACCACTTACACTATAAAGCTATGAAATTTGCTTTCTCTTCTAAAGCTCTTCAATATGGTACAAAAAGAGAAACTATAATTTGGCAAACTGATTTAACTCGTACAACAGTGTTACACCCAAAACTATCAAATGGGGAGAAGTTACTCTTCCTACAAAATGGACCCTTGAAGGAGCTACCATTCCCAGAAGCATCGACCATCGTCAGGTTAATCAAATTACTCAACATCTTGATGGTACTATTAACATCTCTTTGATAGGAACTCCATCTCTTGCATTTCTGATATAGACCCTGAATTGACAGAAGATGCTCGACAGCGCATCAATACTTTTCTTAGAAGCCAATCTTGTAGAAATCTTTCTCCCATACCTACACCCACTCGACATACCTCCTCTACACTTAACTATGATCTACGAGGAATCAACAACTCCAACAACATACCTCAGCCAGTTTATACTCCACCACCTCCCACAACTCTTTTTCCAAATATAAATACCTCGAGAACACCAAATATGTCTCCTACTGCCTCACAAGCTGCATTTCCTGAAGAAGAAATCGCTTCTGCTCTTGATGTCATTACACAAGAGTTCAAAATCAACAAAGAATTTCTTCGCCATGATTTCTATTTCCAACGAAACCATTTTATAGCGAGCAATTTTTTACTGATTACTCTAAAGAAGAACGTGTACTTATACAAAACTCTTTCTATGATTATCTCAATAATATACGAGAACACCATTCTTTCTTTAATTGGTTCGAACAAGTCTTTTCTCAATCTTCGATAAATGTTCAAACCAAGCCTATGACTTGGTTAACTACTAATAACTCTAAGATCCAATCTATTCACCCCCTTAATGCTCTTGTTAATTTTTCTTATTATGGAACAGCAGTTCAAGCCTCTCCTTTTAAATTAAAACGATAAAATAGTGACCATGTCATGCCGTTTGGTTTGAAAAATGCTCCTTCGGTGGGAAGCTTTTGTTTAGAACAAGAAACGGCAATAAATTTTTGAAGGTATTTTGGGCTTCCAGAGGAAGCTTATCAATATTGATTAAAGCTTTGGATGAACTTGAGTGTGAACCAGAATCATCAGAACTTTCTTCATACTCACTTGAATGATCAGGGCTTCCTTGTTCATCATCAAATATCTCTCTCCATGTTTTGATTTTGATTTTCTCTTTATCTCGCAATCTAGTGGTAGGGGTGATGTGATCCTAATTCGAGAATCCTCCCAAAACGGACCAAAAACCAGAGTTGCACACGTCGAACTTTTTAGGGGTTTTCTCCTTTCTTGAATAACACGAAATAAAGATACTTGCGGAATCGATCAAACAAATCCGAACTCGTGAGAAGGGCCAGAAGGTATATGAAACCTTCCAAACAATCTCGAACCCGTGGAAGAGGCCAACCGATATCGTCGATGCTCGCCACAACTAGACGCGTTCTCTAGTTGATAAGAGACCACTCAAACCTCCTGAATCCTCAAAGGAGCGAATAAGCAAAACGTTCACTTGAACTTGTAAACACTTGTATTTGATTGCCGAAACTTGAATGTTGGGTACAAAATTCGTAGCTCTTACATCCTCTATTTATAGAGGTCACACAAACATAAAACTAACCTAAAAGGAATAGGAAAACAAATCCCAAACTAACTAGGAAACATAATACTACTTAAATAAGGACTATAACTCGTTTTTTATGACCAAAGGAAGCTCCTTAGCAGCTAAGTAATATCCAAACACGTTTTTAATGCTTAAGGAAGCTCCTTAGTGGTTAAGCAATCTCTTTCCTTGTCCTTTTCACATTTGGATGACTTGGGTAGCAAGGATGGACGTTTTGGGCTCCAAGAAATGTTGTAGGCCGGATCCTTAATGCATCTCCATTTTATCCATCAAGAATGCTCCCACTTGATACTTAAATCGTCGAATTCGAATCTTCATTTTTGGACCACGGGAATTGAATATTGTGCGAGTCGATATCGCATCAAGGGGGCATTATGACTGAAGATTGCAAGCCTGAGAGTTTTCCACACTTCATCCTCCCTGCAAAAATTCCCGGGTAAGGAAGTCTGGAAGAGAGTTTGAAGAACCATTTATAAATTGTATGTCGAAATAAAAAATGCTAAGGATGGCTTGCCATCGTGCAAATATTTGTTTAGAAGCAAGATTTTGAACATCTTTTTCCAAAATGTATTTTGCTGATTGGCAATCAATGCGTAGTAAAAAATTTTGATTGCGCAAATCATGCTGAAATTTTGAGATGCATAAAACAATAGCAAGCATTTCTTTTTTGGAAGTGGAGTAATTGATTATGGTAGGGTTCCAATGTTTAGAAGCAAAGCGTACCAACAACTCCTTATCATTTTGAATCTGTTTAAGGATTCCTCCATATCCTAGGTCAGAGGCATCGGTTTCGACGATTTTAGAGAGAAAAGGATCACTTATGTGAAGGCACGGGAGACTTTGAACCTGCCTCAAGATGTTGAGTAATTTGATTAACATGACGATGGTCGATGCTTCTGGGAATGGTAGCTCCTTCAAGGGTCCATTGTGTAGGAAGAGTAACTTCTCCCCATTTGATAGTTTTGGGAGTAACAGTGTTAGTACGAGTTAAATCAGCTTGCCAAAGTATAGTTTCTCCTTTTGTACCATATTGAAGAGCTTTAGAAGAGAAAACAGATTTCATAGCTATATAGTGTAAGCGGTAAACCAAAGAGATAGGTAAAGATCCTTGTTGGATTTTATAGTTGAAAGTTTTTATATGTAGGGTTAAAACATCTAAAATATTTTTGTCATGAAGAGAGAGAGAGTAAAGTTGGGAAAACAATTGAAGTAAATTGGACCATTACAAAGACTTGATTCAACAGTTCCAAGTAAAGAATCGTTAAACTCAAGAAACCGACAATCTCGTAAAACCATTAAAATAGCAGTATTAAGGCCTTCTTTGGATAGAGGCTTAATCCCTACTTGAACTAACCCAATATGGATATAGTTGTACTTCTTTTTGTGTTGTTGCATAGAATTTTGAGACAAAAGTTTTATGGTTTCATAATCATTGAAAAGATGAATATCTCTTTCTTCGGTTTTGATGGTATAATCCATTTTATTGAGGAAGTTAAATTTGCTTTGCTCATAAATTTCCTTTTGGGCAATCCTAGGAATTTTCCAATTATCAATTTCTTTAATAACATTTTCAAAATTAATTTCTTCTTGGTTGATCACACGGTTCCCGGTGATGTCAGAATTAGAGGAAGAAGAGGAATTTTCCAATTAACGGCCAAAGATGGTCTTACAACTCTCTCACAAAGGACTCAGCTAGGATCTAACCATGGGGTACCCATCTCTCAACTAATAATAAGCAAGAAGTTTTAGACGAACCCTCCCCCCCCCCCCCAAGGCTCTGATACCAGTAAGGACGAAATGAGACAGCCAATAAGAGATTAACTTGGAAATAGTTTGTAAAGTAAATGATACTGGAAATGACCAGATTAGCAAAAAGTAACAACTGGAGATGTCCAGATTAGCAAAAAGTAAATACTGGAGATGACCAGATTAGCAGAAGATAAATACGGGAGATGACCAGTTTTGCATAAAATAAACACTGGAGACGACCAGTTGAACTGGAGATGACCAGTTATGCCCGAAATAAATAAAAGTTGAAGATGATTTGAAAAAGATGAAGTAAAACTTGATAGTTTGATAGACTTCTTACACATGAATTCTTTAGGGAAGATGATGGGAGGAAGCTTTGCAAGAGAGCAATTCACACTCAAAACAACTCTACTACAACAAGTGAAGGGAGTCTCCTTTTATAGAGAAATGGAGTCCCCTTTTGGTAAATAAATTGAAAAACACAATGATGACAATGTGGACACTTATATGATTATGTCACATATCATAACAAAATTATATTTTCAATATAAAGAAAAATAGATAATTTGTGGTCTTCTTTCCCTAACCAAATTGAGTGGGTTGGAAGTGGAGTCACTTCTTCTTTGTCTTTATGATAGTGGAAGAAGCAATGGGGTCACTTCTTCTTTGTCTTCAACTTAGTGCTCTTTGTTGGCAAACGACCAAGCACTTCTTCATCCGGGTCATGGTTTTGGAACGTGGAATCTGCGTCAGATGTTGAGCTAGACGCCACATCTTTGAGAATTTGGAAGTATTCTTCTTCAGTCTTGGCGCCAGCTAAGAGAGCGCTGATTGAGGATTTTATTTGCAAAAATTGCGTTGAGGATTTTTCGATGACTTTGGACAATTCAGGATTGTTAATGAACCGATGGAGGACTTGAGGTTTGTAGGCTTGTTTTGGGCGAGGATTTGCGGCCCAATATTTGGTTTTGAAGCTGCGGCCTAACATGGGTACCTTTGTGACGGCACAGGTTTGGTAACTGAATTCCCAGGTTGTAAGGCCCCTTTTTGAGCAATTCTTTAATTTCTTGTCGATAATGTTGTTCAAGATCCAAATTCATTTGGATAGGCCTAGCCTTGGTGGGAATGAGATTTTGTGTGAAATCTTTTTCGTAAGGAAGATCAACCTGATGTTGTTTTTTATGCCAAAAAGCATTGGGTGTATCAGCACAAATAGAGCTTTCAATGTGCTCTCTTAAAGAGTTGATTCGTTTTTGCAAAAGGGGTTAAGAAAACTGTTGTAAGATTTGCTGAAAATGTATCTCAAGAGCTTTCAATGTGCTCTTTTAAAGAGTTGATTCGTTTTTGCAAAAGGGGTTAAGAAAACTGTTGTAAGATTCGCTAAAAATGTATCTCATCATGCAAATAAGATATTTGATTAGTTTTACAACGAATTATATGGTGTATATATTTTATAGAAGAACGTCGTAAAACATTTAGGTTTTTGGAGAAATGAGAATTCAACATTGTTGCCTAACACAACAGTGTTAATTCCTTGGTCGGTGACGGTAAAAGGTTTTAGAAGATTTAAAAAGGTGTCCCTAAGATCACCTTTTGTTGCATGTCACGTACTAGGATAAAAGGAGTTTTGAATTCAACATTTTGATGACAAATTAAAGCATTAGAAAGTTTATATTGTATTTGAAGAGGTTGTGAGTTAGCGGTAGATAACGCTCGAGGGTCTTTTCATAGTACTTAGTTGGAATTAATCCTTCTTGGATGCAGTTCATGTCTACTCCTATATCAAGAAGGGCCACTGTGCTTAAAGTAAAATCAGAAGAAACCTGAATATTAATGATAACATGCAATTATTGGGTAGTAATGGTAGATAAAAAAACATAGAAAATCGTCAACAGTTAGCATTTCCTCTGTTTCTAAACTGTTGGTTGCATGAGGATTTTCATCGAAAAAGTTGTCGGGGCTAGATATTGATGCCTCTTCTAAAGGTTTGAGAGCTATTAAAGTTTGTAATATCTCATGATCACTATTTTGTAACTGTTGTAATTGTTGAATTTCTTTCTTGACAATATCCAATTCCTTTTGGAAGTCAGGAAGAGAAGGATTGTGGGAATCGTTATTACTATGTCGAGAAAGGATATCTTCGACACTATACGTCGAACCTTAATGAAAGGGATTGGAATAGTCACAGGAGATTTCTAATATTATTAGTCTAAAATTATGATATAACATAAGATCACAACTAATCAATGCATTATCCTAAACTCTGAACGCTATCTAGAACTTGAATTGACTGATTTTTCGGACATGATACTATACTCTAACCCTTAAAGATCAAAATCTAGGTCTTAATTCACTAAATCTTATACCCCAAGATCAATTTAGTTAGAAATAATAATCGATGGTTATGATTCGTCCAAATATAGGGGGAAAATCAATGGACCATCTTAGTGTTTATTGTTTATGATTTAGATAATTAGGACTTAGGGTTCATTAATTAAGGGTTTGGGTATAGTATCATGCCTAAAAATCCTGCTAATTCGATGTCTAGATAGCGTTTTCATACTCAAGGTATGCGGTACCCTGGATTTCACCAGGGGTACCGTAGAAGGCACCGTATATATATATTTATTTATTTATGTATGTATATGTATATATATATACATATACATATACATATACATAAATATATGTATATATATATAGTGACTTATTCTATGAACTCACAAAAATGAGTGTATACAATGCACCCAACTCTAAAACTAGCATTAAGACATAAATTTTTGAACTTTAGGTGATAGTATTAGTCTAATATTATGATATAACATAAGATCACAACTAATCAATGCATTATCCTAAGCTCTGAACCTTCAATTTTAAATCCTAGTATAAATTCCAAACCATAAACCCTAAACCCTAATCCTAAATTCTTAAACCCTTCATCCTTAAAATTATTGTAATGTTGATGAATTTTTTTCCACAATTCTTGTTCATCATATCACAAGTAATGGTCGGTACCATTTTGACAAGAATTGCATGCTCGAAATGGTGATTATGACGCTAGTGCATTGAATCGCATGCTTGAACCGCCATCTTGGGGAGGTTGTAGACAAAGAGTACATAAGGTCTCGTGGTCCACCTTGTGGTCCTTAACATTCACGACCATGAGAATGATCAGGATCGCGAGAGCAGCCAAGCACGTCACTGTTTTGAGTTCACGACCTGAAGAAGATCACAACCTCGAACTTCTGTGAATAGTCGTTAACTTCTTTGTGTCGACGATCCTCTATAAACAGAGGGCTGCTCCTCTAATTTGAACAGACTTTATAATTTTCTAAACCCTAAAGAGAGGAGAGAAGCAGTTGCCTTGTGGAGGAAGAAGAGAAGAAGGAAGAGGTTGAAGAAGAATTTCTTTACACAAGAAGAAGTTTTATTTCAAGTTTTCTTCCCTTCTTTCTATGTCTTTCCCCTCCCACTCATGGGATAGTTTTCTAAGGTACTCAGGTCTTGGCCCCTTGGGTTTGAGATGTAATTGAATGTGTATTGTGAATTTATTGTTAATTTGAGTTTATCTAGAGTTATTGATGCCTCTATATGAGTTTCACATGTATGAATGCCTGTATGGCACGCACACCGAATTGAAATGTGGGCCATTTTCTAGGAGGTTATGACACTGGATGGAGATACGAACGTGGTTGTCATAGGTTAAGGGTGGAGAGCAATTCCAACTCTCACAAATTCATTTAAAGGATATGTTAAAGGAAGGGAGTAAGAACAATTTTTGCAAAGTAAAGGAAAATGTTTAAGTTTATTATTAAGTTTTTAGGGTGGCGAGTAATTACAACTCCAAGTGTTTAAGTGTTAATGTTAAAGGGTGGAAGTATAAACAACTTCCACAACTTTGTAAGGTGAACACTTAAGGGGAAAACCTTTAGTGATCTTAGGATTCAGTAATGGCGTAGATCGACTCCTTCTCACTCACTAGGTAGAGGAAGGGTTAGAGGGCGAGTAGCTCGAGAGAAAATTGTGCGAGATGAGCAGTAGCATCATCAGTGAAGATGTTTCAGGAAGGATCACAGTAAAGAGTTGTAGCAGGAACTGTTTAGTTGTTTTCGTTTGATGATTATGAGTAT